CTACAGAACGCACCAAACGCTAACCAAACGCTCACAGACGGCCAAGACACTAACAACCGCCTATAAAAACGCTACTGACCAGACTAGCTCCTAGTCGTTCACTATGTTAAATTTCATTTAACTATATGAAAATCCTTGGGATTTGCCTAGTTTACAATGTCAATCATGGTAATTCTGAGTAAAATCATTGGGTAGGAATGATTGTACACCTCCTATGTCCCTGACTTTATACAATTAGGCCAAAAAAAATACTTTACAATGAAACCTTTTTCTCCATTATTGTCTCAGATTAACATTCTTTTCTTAAATTTGATGATTTAGCTGGGACAGCAGAAACATTCTACATGTATGCTTCTTACACTTTCTAGACTGTTACATGTACATTACATAATTTCCAGTCCGTTAGCTTACCATTAGTTGTTTATAAATATTCAGTCCAGTTATCAAAAAATGCTCCATGACACTCACTTGAAGTACAAGATCCTGATTCCACCACAACATCATCTATTGCGATGTCACTACGGTAATCACTTCCCCGTATTCCTTCAAATGTAATCTACAGTCATTACAAGAGATGGAAGTTAGGGTTTGACGTTATAACAACAAAAATAAAACTGAATAGGACCACAATTCTACATGACCACCATGTTACTTATGGACATGGTAGCACTTAACAAGTTAACCTGGCTATTTAACAATTATACCTGTAGCCTGCAAGGGCTACGGGTCAATAGCGCATGAGGCGAAGCCATATGGGCTATTGACCTGTGGCCCTTGAGGATGAAGGGCGTAGTATCACCCAACTAGTCAGACAAAAAAGGTAATAATAAAGTTAGGAAATGCAAGTTGAAGAATATTTATTTGGGAATAAAATGAAAGAAAGCATCATGCTTGATTGCGTCAATTTCGCTACTCGAAATAGTCCTTTAGTAGCATAGCCAATTAAAATGCAGGATTTGCATTAGTCCGCTAGTTGGATGATACTAATTGCAATTAGTTGACCAGTTAAAGTTATAAAAATATCAGAATCTCTCATGCAACTGTGTATTTGAAGAGTCAGTTAACCAACTCTTGACCAAGGAAGAGGTTGCCATGGGAAAAATTAAAAGACACTATATACATTGTTATTTTCTAAATGGCCATACCTTTGAAATTTGCGGTGTATTGCAACATGCCAAAATAGGTAATAAACGGCACGCAATGCATGCAGAAACGATGACGTTTAAAAATTGTTCCTAGAAGATTGGAACATGAACAGACAAACTGATTCTTAAACTTTTGGGTTAGAAATTTTAGGGGTTTACATTTAGGGGTTTACATTTAGGGTAGTCCATCGTCCATTGGTGGTTCATTCAAGTAGTTCATGTACCAGGTCCATCTTGTTAGTCCATGTGCTAATACCAACCCAAATAAAAAGCACTCCGCTGAAAAGTTTCTCTCTCTGAAATCAACACCTTATCATCTTTAAAGATATTTGGCAAAGCTAATTACCTCACCGGAAATTAATTTGTTGTTTTAACCATATACTTGTCCAAGAGAAAATCATTTTCTCTTGACTTGTCATATCACATGTGCGACCCGCTTGTCTATCTAAAATTGTATGTATTGAAGATATGTTATTATGAGTTTGCTCATGAGCGCAAATTTATCCGACACTGTGTAAACCAAAATCCACCCACAAATCTTTGTTTAAAAGCTGAAATTAAAAGCACTCCGCTGATCCTACAAACAGCAAAGGAAAGCTGCAAAGTACAAGTTTCTCTCTCTGAAATCGACACCTTATTTTCTTTTTAAGATATCTGGCAATGCTAATTACCTCACCAAAAATTAATTTGTTGTTTTAACCACATACTTATCATCAATGAACATTCATATTGTCTTTACCCTGACAAAATGATTATCGATTATTTAATCACAACCACTCTTTCGTTGAAAGAAAATATAAAACAGCACATTTCCAAAACTTCACAAAACACTAAGAACTGCAAATAAATCATACCCTGACTTCATTATCACTACTGTAAACCGTATATTTCAGTGCTCATACAATGCTCATACAGTGTTCTCACAGTGCTCATTCAATTCAGACAATACTCATTCAATTCACTTCAAGACTGGCAAAAGTACAACTGTGCTACCAATCCATAAATTTTATGTAAACCCTTCAGCTCTTGCGTGTGCGACTCGCTTGTCTATTTAAATTTGTATGTATGGACAATATGCTCTTATTATGAGCTTACCAGTGAGCACAAATTTATCCGACACTGCATAAACCAAAATCAACCCCCAAATCTTCATTTAAAAGCTCAGAAATTAAAACAACTCTGCTGATCCTACAAACAGCAAAGGAAAGCCGCAAAGGAAAAGTTACTCTCTCTGAAATCGACACCTTATTACCTTTAAAAATATTTGGCAACACTAATTACCTCACCAGAGATTAATTTGTTGTTTTAACTGGATACTTGTCATATCGATTAAAAGCAGTCTGCTGATCCTACAAACAACAAAGGAAAGTCGCAAAGCCTTCACCTATCGCCTGTTCGACGTACTTGTCTATCTAAACTTGTATGTATGGAGGACATGTTCTTATTACGAGTTTGCCAGTGAGCGCAAATTTATCCGATACTGTTTTAACCAAAATCCACCCCTAAATCTTCTTTTAAAAGCTACAATTAAAAGCACTCCGCTGAACCTACAAACAGCAGAAGGATAGCAGCAAAGGAACTCCCAGAGTGCATTTCGCTTCCACAGGGGGATAAATCGTGTGTGACATAAGCACACAGACATAAGCGCTACAAACTGTGCAAAATCACTATCCAAAGGAATGCATGCATGCCAGCATAAAGCAATAACATCACACAATACATCATCGCTTAAAAATCTTTTGCTCAGTTGAGACAGTACAATCAAAGCATATTAATGTCTTTAATGTTTGAAACCATTTAAAAACAGTCTAACTTAGACGTTGCCTCTGAAAATTGCATACCTAGATTTCATCTTGGTCTGCGGCAGACTAACATGATGCCAAGTGCTGATTGGTAGATTTGAAATGGTCTGCATGCCTTGAATTCCTTTGGTCGCTGAGTTTGGCACCGATCATATTGAGAAAGCTGTTTTCGTGATTTCAGCATTGATTTTCTTGGGAAGTGTTGGAGGGATGAAGCTCAAATTCGGCAAAGAGATAGAGAAAAATCTCATCAATCAATAACCGTCACCATTCAGGTGAGATTTTCAGTGTTTTGGCATTAATTCCAGTTTGAAGTGGAGGAGGTCCCGCTTGGCGGCCACCAAGTTGCAAGCCTTGTCTCCCTCTCTTGTCTTACCGGTATCTGACAAAAAGTAATTTTGTAAAAAAAAAAAAAAAAAAAAAAACACTTCAGACGGCTCAGGAAGGCGAAAAAAAACACCACACACAAGTCAATTAACATTTCATTTAACTTTATTGGGATATTCAGACCGAGATGTAGTTTAGATATGCAATTTTCAGAGCTTTATTCATAACCTTCATTGATTCTGTTCATTTCATATAAACAATTATCAACCATGGACACACAGGGTGGTCCACCTGTGATACAACAATTACTTTTCATGAAAACAAATAGCCTCCTACTGGCTAGCGACGGTATAAAGCTTCTAATCTCTAATAAAATTAATTTTCACCGTTCCAATGTATATACAGTGCAGCTCAGATATAAGTGAACAACACGTATGCGCACTGTGCCATTGGGGCCTCTTTTACTTCATTCAGCAGCTTAACTGGGAAATCCTTTCTTAATAAATATGCAAGGTTTCGCACATCAACACAAAAGATGTTGTTCTTAAAATTTGACTCATTTTGACCGGTGAACAAATGGATCTCAAATTTGTGTTTTCCTTGTAGAGTTTCTCAAGCGTGGAACTGGGCAGCGCGAGAGATGGAGAGTGTCGTTTAAAAGTTTGCTGTTTTTTTTTCTCTATTTTAACTCTTTTTGGCAATTTTTTAAAGTGCACCTAACCCCAAAATTTTTTTTTCGCTAAAACAAATCTAGACTTTATTCAAAGCATTTGGGCGAAGAAATTTTTGAATTTGGTTGATTCTCGATTTTCTATGCCCTTTCAAAGTCGCGCTTGAAGGTTTCACGACCGCGTTTTAGGGAGTCTGGGGCGGCGGTACCTGATGACGTCTACCCAGG